CTAGATCCCCTTGTATGGAATTCATGTTTTCTATATATAAGGGTCTCCTCCATTTTTGAAAGGTTTAGAATTTTGGAACAAATATCTCTCTCTCTACATTTCTCTCTCTCTCTCTCTTGAAAATTTATGCATAGTAGCCTTATATACACTACACTTTTGCCTACACCTCTTAACCAAGTTTTTTTTTATCTTTGAGCTGAGATTCCTTGGAGGCCTTCTTGGAGCCTTTGAAGTTGGTTTTGGCTTGAAATTGTTGCCTAGAATTGATCTTTGCCTTCAAGAGGTATAACACTTGCCCTTTTACCTTAGCTTGACATTTGTTTTTCTATCTTTTTCCCATTATTTTTGGGCTGTTTTTGGGCTATAAAAATTTTGTTTTTGTGGGCTGAAATTGGTGGTTAGAGGCCATTAAAGGTAGGAGATGGTTCATCCTTCTTTATTCTTTATTTGTAAGGCCTTTCCACCTTTGTTTCCTACTTTCAAACATTTTCTTTTGGGCCTTTGAGCATTGAATTTCAAGATTTTCAGTGGTGAAAATCAAGTTTTGAAATCCAAAATTTAGAGGGGTTAGCCTCCATTTCTTGTGTCTTGTTTGCTAGCCTAGTTAGCTCTATGTGTTAGCTTATTTTTCTAGCCATTTGTAGCTTAATTCCAACATGTTTTAGGCTCTGATTGGACTATTTTAACTCTGTTTTGGTTGGTTAATCATTTGGGTCTTGTTTTGCAATGCTTCTAGTGTAAGTGTCTTCACAAGCTTGGTGTTTTAGGCCTTTAGACAGCACTTGTTTGAGTTGATTGCATTGTTTTACGTGTTTTTCTCACTTAATTTCAACAGGCATAAATCTCTGCAACCTCCCTCGTTTCTTCACTTTTTGTTTGCTTTGAGGGTTGTTTCAACCTTAGGATTGTTTAAGCTTGAGATTGAGGTGATGACAGTGATGAAATGTGCCAAGTTTCCTAGGTCTCTCCATTGCCCTTGATCATGCATGATTAGGGTGAAGGATTTAGTCTTTTTTGTGCATTGAAAACTTGTACACCTTGGTTCTTTTAGCCTTCATGCAATGAAATTTCTTGATTGATGGTCTTTGAACCAAGTGTATCACTCCTTTGAGCTTGTTTGATGATAAGGAGGATACACAGTACAAACAACCCTTGAAGAAATACACTATCCTGGTCTGTTTGCTCTTTGTTGCAACAAGGAAGTCCAAATTAGCAGTGCCGACATGCTATCATTTGTAGCAGATCGACCATCATTTATAGCCGATCGCCATCATCAGTGGTCGATGGACCATCAGCAATGGCAGACCGGCCCCTATCGGCCACCAGTGAAATTCAGCAGTGTCCTTATGAACAAATAGAGCTAGTCTGGAAGTGGAATCAGTGTAAGTGTCCTACTGAGCAACAGAGGCATGCAGCAGCAGAACAGTGGCTTTTCGGGTGGAAACCGCGTTCATGCATGAGTTCCTCATCCATCTCCATGTTGTAATAGATTAGTGTTATGCTTAAACTAGTGGCTTTTGTGATAATTAGTTAGAATAGCTAATTCGCTTCGTGTTGTAATTATAATTGATTAGCTAGAATAGTTAATTAATTCGATTTGTAATAATTAGTTAGCTACTATGTTAGTTAATTAGTTCAATTTGTTGTAATAATTAGTTAAGTAGTTTAGCTAATTCAATTTGTGGTGTAATTAATTAGCTTAGCTTAATTAGTTAGCTAGTTAGTTCATTTGGACCCTCCTTCATGAAAGTGTAATGTAATAATGTGTATGTCTTCCAACCCCACGTCTTTCTCCATTTTTATTTATCCATTTTTGATGGTTAGATTAGGACATCACATTTCAATTAGCATATCGCATGTTTACATCCATTCATCTTGTATTACATGCACTGAGGCTCGGTTCATCATTCTAACTGCATTGTTGTTTCAATACATTCTTTGAATACTGCTTAGATCGCATGTTATCAAAATCAATTCGTATGTCATATTAGTAGCCGAGCCTGGTATGCATATTGTATGTGTTACATTAGACATTTGGCATAGTTAGGAATCATGTATTTTCTAACTCTGTTGTTTTATCTTAGCTTGGATTATTATTTCAAAAAATTCAATCTTAACCAAAGCTAAATATACATTCAATCTTTTTTCTTTTATTTATTTATTTATTTATTTATTCAGGTTCACAACCAACTTTTTTTGGGTTTTTTTTTTTTTTTTTTTTTTTTTTTCAACCAAAGCTAAATATACCTCTAATCATTTTTTTTATTTATTTTTAAGGTTCACAACTATTTTTTTTTAATTTTTAAGATTCACAACCAAAGCTAAATATACATTCAATCTTTTTTCTTTTGTTTTTTATTATTATTATTTTTTTATTTTTTAAGGTTCACAACCATTTTTTTTTGTTTTAAAGATTCACAACCAAAGCTAAATATATATTCAATCTTATTTTATTTTATTTGGCTCAACAATAAAATCAAATACACATTAATTAACATTGTCACATTATTCTTGCCAAATTTTATGCATATCTAGAATTTTTAAAATTTATTTAAAAAAATTAAAGACACTGTCTAGTGTAAGTTTCGGTTTGCTTTTCTATGTTATTTTATTTTGTTATGTATTGTAATTTTCAGAATGGTTTGCTTGTTCTGATATTTCAATTAACGAATATGAATCTATTTATTTTATGTTATCACACAATTTATACAATATATATATATATATATACATATATGAATGTATTTGAAAATAAGAAAATTGTAGAGAATCAAAACAAGCATGAGTCGTGATTGGTTAGAAATGATAGGTACAAAGATTTATTTGCTGGAAAAACAAAAAGGAGATACAAAGTCTTACTAATCTTATAACACTTTCTTCAAACAGGTTCTTTCACATTTTATTTCTTCAAACAGGCTCTTATAACATTGTAATCAGGTTCTTATAACATGCAGGGGAGAGAGTGAAAGTGAGAGAGAGAGAGATGGTTGTAATTTTTTTTTAATCTTCCACGTTCTTCCACATTTTTTTTTTCAATTACTAAAAGTTATTTGATTGTCTCAAAATTATATATTTGATTATTATAAAACAAACTTTTTAATTAATTAATTAATGTGTATTTGATTTTGTTGTTGAACCAAATAAAATAAAATAAGATTGAATATATATTTAGCTTTTGTTCTGAACCTTAAAAAAATAAAAAATAAATAAATAAATAAGTTGTTAACATTAAATATATTAAAAAAGAAAGAAAAAAGATTGAAGGTATATTTAGCTAAAACCTTTATAAAAAAAAAAGAAAAAGGTTATTAACATTAAATATATTAAAAAAGAAAGAAAAAAGATTGAAGATATATTTAACTTTTGTTGTGAACCTTAAAAAAAAAAAAATTGTTAACATTAAATATATTAAAAAAGAAAGAAAAAGATTGAAAGTATATTTAGTTTTTGTTGTGAACCTTAAAAAAAAAGAAAAAAAAGAAGTGGTTTTTAACATTAAATATAAAAAATAAAATGGGGATACCCATTAAAAAATGGGGAGGGTGGTACCCATGGGGAATGGGGAATGGGAAAAATTCATTATAGGAGAATAGAGATGGGGAATGAATATCCACCCCATTGCCCTCCATTGCCATCCCTAAGTGGCACAGAAACATTCTTAGGCTTCGAAACTTTTGAAGATTTTGCAGAATTATGGGGCATACCACCAGATAAATTTTCAGTAGAATGATCTCCATCAAAACCAGGGCGTTTTTTAAATGACTATCTGCTCATGCTTCCTTTCTTTCCATGCTTTCCATAAGGATTATCTTCCCCGGCCATGAAACTGTCCTCAGTTAAATTACTAGTTTTGTGTTTTCTTAGTGGCAAGGCTTTTGAGCCAATAGAAACCATAACCAGATTCCCGGAAAATGGTTCCTTGCAATAAACCTATTAATAATAAACAAATTTAAAATACAAATGTTAAAAAAATATCAAATTGCACTGGTGCAAGTGCTCATGTCATGATACATGACATTAGCCGCAGAAGCGCACGCTTACCTGCAAGGCCTCAAGATTGAATAAATGAAAACTAAAATGACTGAAATTCAGGAATAAAAATGAACCACAAGAAACCCCTTAAAACAATGATTTGAATATGATATATAACTTTGCATTAAAAAAAATTAAATAAATAAATAAGAATATGATATATTATTGTTATTTCTGGAAAAGATGATAACTTTAAGGGCTAATTTCTCTTATACCCTCAACCTATTGTCATTTTTTTCTTTCTATTTCATCCCTAATTATTAATTTCATCTATGTAGTCCCTAAAGTTTTTTTAGTTTTTTTTTTATTTATTTTTTTTATTTTTAATTTCAACTAATGTGGTTCAATTGGAGACAATCCGTGCAAAAACCTAATCTAATAGACAAAAAGGTAATTTTATAATTTAAACAAATTAAATCATTCAACTAAGCACTTATCTATTTATTCATAATACATTAGATAACTTTACACCCCACAACTAAATTCTAAATACCACTGAATTTTGAAAACTATCACTACAACAAAATTGACTTTTTACGGTACCATATCAACGGCATACAATAAATGCACGCCGTAGTTTCTCACTTTTATGACTTGTTTTTTTTCACGTCCTAAATACTTTTCCAACCACAATGTGTCTATTGCGTAGGCCGTGAATGGTAATAACAATAATTTTTTTACGACTTACAATGTACGCCGTAAATAATAAAACTTTCAATGACATACATATGGCGTGCCATTAATACATCAATTATACATGACGCACACAATGCCTATCGTTAAAAGTTTTGCAATTTTTATGACGGACAATGTATGTCGTAAATTGTATGATAAAAAACAAAGAAGTGCCAAAATAAAATTTCTGGCGTCAATTCACCAAAAAAAAAAGAAAAAGAAAAATATTTCGCAAAAGATAATATACATCAACTGTTTTGGCTTCTAATAGATTCTAATCATTAGACATTAGTTCGAAGGGGATTCATCGCTGGTATGACAACTGGCTCGACAGCGACATCCATCGCCGTTTCCCTCATTATCTCTTTGCTCACTTCCATTTTCTAACTTGTCTTTTTGCGGCTTCGATTAGCAAAACGACATTAACAACTCCACTTAACAGCGTCGGGCACAGGGAGGAAGATAAGGAAAGGTACACACTCATACTCTTCTCTTCTCTTCTCTCTCTATCTCTCTCTCTCTCTTTCTCTCTCTCTCACTGATTTGCCCTAAACACATCTCATTTGGGGCATCTCTCTCTCTCTCTCTCTCTCTCTCACAGATTTGCCATAAACATATCTCATTTGGGGCATCTCTCTCTCTCTCTCTCTCTCACAGATTTGCGAACGAGATTGAGTCAGGCCGAGTCAAGTTGCAGAGTTATTCTGACGAGTCGTCGTTCAGGTAGGAGACCGAGTCGAAGAGGAGTCAGACCTTGTTTGGGTCGACAGCAAAGACAAAGCACGGCGAGGTCGAGAGGAAGAAAGGAACTCCATGGACAGAAGAAGAACATAGGTACATTTTCTGGGTTGTTTAGATTCTTTTATTGGTTACCAAACATAGTGTTTTCTTGAGGGCCAAACAGATCATCTAGTTATGTACATGAGTTTCTTGATTGAATTGTTTTTTTTTTTGTTTCCCTCTTTTGATTTTGTGTTTTATTAAGAACTACCCTAAATTGGATGATGACGAATATGCTGTTTGGCTTTGGGCCACATCTGTGATGTATACCTCTGTGATGTATCCTAAACTTCTATACATGGTTGTTTCCCTCAATTGTAAGTCCCTTTTGTAACTTTTCAAATGTTCCTCTAGCATTTGTTCACGTTTGTAGAACAAATGAGGTGTAAACCAGTGATGGATGCAGTGGTCAGACTCTGTCACTTTTTGATTATAGGAAATGGTTGCTACGGATTATTTAGAAAACTGGATTCAGTCTGGAGTCTGTTAGTCCTCTAGTGTGCTAAACTGAAAATTGTGATTGATTTCAAATTCTGATTTTGAACTATAGACCATATTTGGAGCTTATCCAGATGAGATAATTTTGACTACTATTTGAATTCTCAGAGCAATTATACAGTTCTATATTAAATCTCCCAATCATCACTCAATTTCACTCGAATTTTGAGTAAAAGCTTCATTTGACATGAACTCCAATGGCAAACACCAATTTTCTTTCTAAAAATTCCCATCTTATCACAAGAATAGCAGTTCGCTAAATGATAAACTTCAAATGAAGCAAGCATAGCCTTTGAATTGAACATTTGAGTCAAGATTTAAGTCTCCCTTCATTTGGGTATTTAGTATGAGTTTGACTCAAAGAGTGGAGAGGTGTTTGGGGTGTTTTTTTCAACTCAAATTTAAGTTTGAGTCAATATTTGAGTAAGGATTGGAGATGCCCTTATATTGCTTTTCCATTTATGTTTCTAGAATAATGTTGGGGTCACTCAAATACCTTTTTTTACTGTTATTTTACGTTGTTAATGAAAGCCTTGTTGTATAGTCATTCTTTCTTACTGTTATGCATGTGTTTTAGTGTGATCTTGTGATCCAGATGTTAATTTTAGATTATATGTTTTAGTGTGGTTTTATGGTTATCCATATAATGTATATTCTTGTTGTCGAGTAAACTTGTGGTTACCCATGTGATTATCTTTTTTGTTTGTAACTCATTATCTGGTTTGCTGTTTTTGGCAATTGAGTAGATTGGTTCTCGACAATATATTATTTTTTTAGGGTGGTTTGTCTACACTCAACGGTTTAAGTCATGATTTAACCTAATGCTATAATGGCCTTAAGGTTGGGAATTTCAATTATTATCTATCTGGACAGATTATTTTTTTGGTTATTCGAGTATGTTAAGGTTAGAATTTGTTTGGTACTTTATTTACAATGCTTTTACTATCTTTTAGTTTCTCGACTGCTTTATTTTTCTTTTTCTTTTGACAATTGGGGAATTCGAAGTTTATGAAAGCTAAATTCAATTACTGATACATTTCAGGAAATTATTTAATGATTTGTTCAGCAATACAAGCAAGTTTGTCCTGGGGTATGTTTTTTCTCCCCCCTAATGATGAACTATGTGGCCTATTATAGCGGCGGGTTGATGGCAGGGGACGTTTTGAGACTCTAGCTCACAATATATTAAACAATATGAATCAGTTTTTTAAAATGGTCACTTGAGTGGTTTGACGTGGTATGAGGTAATACCTTTTTCATAGGATGTTCTCTTAAGCTTTTGAAAGGGTCCTGATGTTGATACCCACTAAAGTTATTCAAGGAATTTCCTATATGACCTATTTTGGCAACTTAGTGGACGTACTATTATCCTCCTATATATTTTAAAAGAAGTACACCAAGTTAGTCCCATTGGATGGGATTTGGGAGGGGTAAATTGGGTATAAACTTAATTTTTGGTAATTGTTAGACTTATTTATTTTGATGATTTATTTAATTATGTTTTAATTTATTTGAAAGAGAAAAATAGAATTCAAAATTTATTTTAATGATTCACTTAATTATATTTTAATTTATTTGAAAGAGAAAAATAGAATTAAAATTTATTTTGATGATTTATTTGAAAGAGAAAATAGAGTCAAAATTTATTTTGTCCCATTATTTCTCACATAAACCTTTATCCTAAATGTTGTTAGAATGTATTTAATATTTAATTAAATCAGGAGTTCAAATAGCCCAAAACAGAGGTTTAAACAGTCCAACACAGCAGTAGTTCAAAAGGTTCAAGTGGAAGATATTCAAATTTGTAATGATGGAGTGGAAGATATTCAAATTAGTAATGATGGAGTACAACGAGATTTAAGTCTCCCTTCATTTGGGTATTTAGTATGAGTTTGACTCAAAGAGTGGAGAGGTGTTTGGGGTGTTTTTTTCAACTCAAATTTAAGTTTGAGTCAATATTTGAGTAAGGATTGGAGATGCCCTTATATTGCTTTTCCATTTATGTTTCTAGAATAATGTTGGGGTCACTCAAATACCTTTTTTTACTGTTATTTTACGTTGTTAATGAAAGCCTTGTTGTATAGTCATTCTTTCTTACTGTTATGCATGTGTTTTAGTGTGATCTTGTGATCCAGATGTTAATTTTAGATTATATGTTTTAGAGTGGTTTTATGGTTATCCATATAATGTATATTCTTGTTGTCGAGTAAACTTGTGGTTACCCATGTGATTATCTTTTTTGTTTGTAACTCATTATCTGGTTTGCTGTTTTTGGCAATTGAGTAGATTGGTTCTTGACAATATATTATTTTTTTAGGGTGGTTTGTCTACACTCAACGGTTTAAGTCATGATTTAACCTAATGCTACAATGGCCTTAAGGTTGGGAATTTCAATTATTATCTATCTGGACAGATTATTTTTTTGGTTATTCAAGTATGTTAAGGTTAGAATTTGTTTGGTACTTTATTTACAATGCTTTTCCTATCTTTTGGTTTCTCGACTGCTTTATTTTTCTTTTTCTTTTGACAATTGGGGAATTCGAAGTTTATGAAAGCTAAATTCAATTACTGATACATTTCAGGAAATTATTTAATGATTTGTTCAGCAATACAAGCAAGTTTGTCCTGGGGTATGTTTTTTCTCCCCCCTAATGATGAACTATGTGGCCTATTATAGCGGCGGGTTGATGGCAGGGGACGTTTTGAGACTCTAGCTCACAATATATTAAACAATATGAATCAGTTTTTTAAAATGGTCACTTGAGTGGTTTGACGTGGTATGAGGTAATACCTTTTTCATAGGATGTTCTCTTAAGCTTTTGAAAGGGTCCTGATGTTGATACCCACTAAAGTTATTCAAGGAATTTCCTATATGACCTATTTTGGCAACTTAGTGGACGTACTATTATCCTCCTATATATTTTAAAAGAAGTACACCAAGTTAGTCCCATTGGATGGGATCTGGGAGGGGTAAATTGGGTATAAACTTAACTTTTGGCAATTGTTAGACTTATTTATTTTGATGATTTATTTAATTATGTTTTAATTTATTTGAAAGAAAAAAATAGAATTCAAAATTTATTTTAATGATTCACTTAATTATATTTTAATTTATTTGAAAGAGAAAAATAGAATCAAAATTTATTTTGATGATTTATTTGAAAGAGAAAAATAGAGTCAAAATTTATTTTGTCCCATTATTTCTCACATAAACCTTTATCCTAAATGTTGTTAGAATGTATTTAATATTTGATTAAATCAAGAGTTCAAATAGCCCAAAACAGAGGTTTAAACAGTCCAACATAGCAGTAGTTCAAAAGGTTCAAGTGGAAGATATTCAAATTTGTAATGATGGAGTGGAAGATATTCAAATTAGTAATGATGGAGTACAACGGCTATAAACGACTATAAATTCAAATGAATACAACGGCTATAAATGTCTATAAATTCAAATACATACAACGGCTATAAACGGCTATAAGTTTCATTATATATACCAAAGCCTCTAATGCAAATAAGTCACAAAAAATCAGAAAATATTTTTTGATCTATATTCACTCACATTTATTCTCTGAAAAATTCTCTAAGAAGTGTTCTTCAATTTTTGTTTACATCATCTCTCAGAAATTATACACTGAGCCTTATAGCATTAAGCTCATCTTTCCTGTGTAATGTTTACAGAAAAACCAGATCTTCATTTTTATATCTATCTTTGAGAGATAATTATTGTAACTTTCTGTGAAAGCAAAAACACTTTCTTTTCAACCTTGTAAGAGTGTAGTACACTCAGTGTTCTTGACTTAGAAAGTCTGTGTAAAATTTGTGGAGGATTGCTCCATCTGTGAAAAGGTTGCTAGCACCCTGTGAAGCTAGAAGATAGTGAAAAATCTCAAGTGAAGCTTGAGGAGTGAATGTAGGCTTGGTTGAAACCGAACCACTATAAATCTGTTTGTCACTTCTTCCCTGATCTCTTTACTTTCATACTACTGCTATATCTATCTAATATTCATGTGTGTAGACACCCCATTTTTGACCGACCTTAAGACTCAGACGTCATCGATTGAGCGCTCGATGATGGTGCATGTTGTGCTTGTTCTGAGGTTTCGGAGTTTCAGCTGAGAGCCTTACCCCAGGACCTCGGGACCCTTTTGTGCTTTGCCTCGGTTTGCGAACCAGGTCTTGTTTTCTCTTCCCAAAGGGAGGGAGAGGTCTCGTAGACCATCTCTCAGTGGCCGTAGACTACTTTTCGTGGTCGTAGGCCACTTTTTCAATTTGGAGACCAGTTTTCGATTTTCGATTTTCGGAGCCGTCGGCCGTGCGCCTCGGTTCGGGACCGCTTAACTTTCTCCGTTTGGCACGGTTTTTGCACACACCTTGTTTCCTCTCTCTAGAGGGACACTGTGGCCCGGGAGACCACCTTTGTGGTCGCACGCCACTTTCGATGTTTAACAGCCTATTTTCGGGGCACCTGGCTACGCGTTTTGACCCCCGAACCCTCGTTTTGCATCCGTCTTGGTTCATTTTTGGCATGGACCTTGTTTTCTTTGTTTGGAAGG